GTGCCCAGCTGGCAGCCGCTCCGCTTCCCCGGGCACCCATGGACGGAGCGCGGGGAGGGCTGCCGCCGCCGCCTCGCCAGGTACCGCCGCCTCGTCCTTTGTCCCGGGAGCCTTGTCAGCCTGGCCGGGAAGGGCTGCCCACCACCCCGCTCGGGAGCCGGGCGCGCGGGCGGCTCCGCAGACGGGCTGAACTTCCTTTCCTTGGGCGACTTGGGGTCGGGGTCCTCGGTAGCTGGGAGGAGGAGGAGGAGGAGGATCAGCACTATAAGGGCATGAAGCAGGCACCCAGGTTTTACCTTTCAGCTGCAAGGAATCGGTTTATTAGCTGTTTGTCCAAAAAAAGAAAAAAAAAATTAATCGCAAGCTTTCGGAAAGCAAGGGAAGGTATTTCTGTGAAACGCCACTCTCGGGTCTCAGTTCAGCGAGCCACGATGGGGTCTTCAGTAAAAGTGCACTTGCTGGCTTCCTGGCAGCAATCAGGTTTGAGTAAGGAATGCGACATACGTTTGTACCTGTTTAAGTTGCAGGCATCTTGAAACCATATCCTCTTGGTCCTGCCTCGATGCGCGTCATACCTCAGTGCAGTAGTCACAGTCGGGTTGTTTTTTTTTTGAAGTGGCCTTTTGGATCGCAGGTGAATTCTTTGCAAGTAGAGTCTAATACGATTGAAATATCGATATGATGCTCAGCGCTTAAAATAACCCTTAGACCTTTTATGCAGCCTATAGTGAAGTTGCGAAGGGGAGCGCAGCGCCTGCTCTGGACATGTGGATCTGGAGCAAAGAAAAAAAGAAAGGCATGATTCTCATTTTTATAGTTTGTTTAATAATTTATACCGATGTAAAAGGGATGTGAAATGCCACCAAATCTGAAGTTTCCACTTGCACCCAATAAGTGTTTTATGCATGCTTTGAGGTTGCAATGTGAATAGCAGTGCATTGTTTTTCTTCATAGGTATTTGAACTTACCTCCAATAAAAAGCTTTGGGTGGTTGTATGCATGTTGCTTCTGAAGGATAAAACGCTTGCGATGATATGAAATCTAGTTCAGTGTCAAAAGGGAAACTTGAAGAGAGGGGAAGGTACAGCTTGTATTGTTCCTCTCAAGTTTTTCAGGTTAGCTTCAGTTAGCAGGCTGGATATACAGGCCTGAAATATAGATTTGTGGCTGAACACACAAGACCTGCACTTCTGTTGTACTGTTCGAGAAGTGATAAGGCTTATGCTTGCTTGAGACTAGGCTATAAAGGATTCTCGTGTGGCTCATTGAGTTCATTAGGTAACAGATGGAGTACCTGTTTTTAAACACATTTGAATCCACTGGCTTAGACTTTTCAGCGCACACTTCCCTATAAAGTCTTTGAAAGAAGTTGCTTCTAATTCATTGCTGGCACTTCTTTTCAATTGTTGTGGATGTGGATTTGATCTCATTAGCTTGCATTATAATGAGGACTCTAAATTTCCCCCACAATCATTGTGTGGTTTTGAAGTTTGCTGCACATCTGGGGAAACCCTTCTTGTACAGGAAGCTGCTGCTAGCAGCCAATTTACACAACAGAGGAGGGTTTTAGTGTATGAATGACTCTTCCGCGTGCAGGCCTGTTGTTTCCTTCCTAGGATACATGACTGTAAGTTGAATTGCTGCTGATTCATCATCTTGTTACTTGGTTGTAAAAGTTAAGTCGCATAGCAAACAACTTAAAATAAGGAATATGTAAGGTACCCAAAGGACCTTGTCTGCTCTGATATGTTACGAGGGTTCAGTTTTTTTGGGTTTTTTTAAATTCTTTAGAATATACTTTAATAGCGAGCTTTGTATTTCACCACAAACAGTTAAATTACAATTATCAAGACAGCACATCCCATGGCAATTTTACAATTATCAAGACAGCACATCCCATGGCAAAGCATTTTATGAAACACTCACTAAATCTTCTGGTTCATAACATTTTGTTTTAAAATACTCAGAGCGTGTGTACTTTAAAATAGTGCTGTTGGAGCAATTAATAGAGCAATAAAACAGCCAGCGCTGCTCTTAAGAGTCTGAGTTTATGCAGAGCTTCATTGGTACAAGCTCCATGGAAACACCTTACAGAAAGTACCTCCTCTTTTTGTGCCTTATTATGTGGGGTTTTTAAATTATTATTATTGATTCCCGCAAAGGACAAAAGTCAGAGTCAAGTGCTTTATCTATTAGTCATTTATCTGCTCTAGATCCTGAAATTGCAGCAGACATGGAGCACAAATATGAGCGTGGGTCACCTTCATCCATTGTCTGCTTGCCAGCTAAGGAGAGCTAGTGCACAGATCAGGAGGAATATATAGTTACAAAAGAAATATACTTCTGGATGGTGTGCGCCACTTTTCCTGTATTTGGAAGAAAACAGTTGAATCGCTATTTCCCCTTTTCCTTAACTTGCAACTATTTTTAAAAATTTAAAGTTTCCTTTAAATTGATTGTTCATATTTTAATTCAAGACTTAACTCTTTCCCACTTTATGAAGAAAGTTAAAGAGAGGAGATTGTTACCAGGGTCAGAAAGATGCTTAGAGAAATAGCAAGTAGAAAAAGAAAGACTTAAAACACACCTCTTCCTCCTGTTCCAACTTCTGGTCCAGGGCTCCTGTTTTTACTTTTTCCAGTGCTTTGTTTAAATACCCAAGTAGCGGGGTTTTCTTCTGTTTTCTAGGGTAGACTATCCCATAGCATTTTTCTTTCACTATTGGTATTTTTCTGGCACAGCTGAGTGTGAAATTTACAGGGTTTTGTATTTATGTGCGTTTATAATGTATATCATTTCAAAACAATGCAAAAATGTATGTGTCCTGACTTTAAGATCTAGAACAACGACAGAAAGCAAATGACACCTTTCAGGATTGGATTAGCAAGATTTATTATTCAAGAAACAAAGCTTTACCTGGTAGCATGTCAGTTTGACTTACCTAAAACCTTTTTTCTGTTAGCTGCGGAAGCCAATCCACATTTCTGATCTCCAGGTATCTATTTCCTGACATGAAAGACAATAAATATATGAAGATTTTTTTTTTGTAGTAAGTCTACTGTAACAGTGCAATGTAGTCTTGCCAGCCTTGTTCATTTTTGTTGAACATTAGCTTGTTGCCCAACAACTCAGATGGGTTTCCTTTTTGTCTCCTTTTTTGGTCCAAGGTATTTCTGCATTCTTGAAGCCTTTCCCTTTATTGGATTGGTAAGACCTGTAGTGGTGTTTCCTAAATTCGAAAGAACTGGGAGTGATCATCAGTGCTGCTATGTAGTTCAGCTGAGGTGGAGGAGCCAGCATTACTGCTTAAGGAGCACACTTTTTTGATTCAGCAGAAGCAGTCTCTCCTGACCAGTGCCAGCAGTGATATTTATAGATACACAGATCTGGAGCCCTTTTTCACTCTACAACTTGTTGCCTCCCAACTACTGAACAGAAGTTTTCTGGAATTAAAGTAAACATCCAATTGAAAATAGATCAGTGCATTTAATTCAGACAGCTGTGCACAGAGCTTCAAATGTGAGAACACATTTAGTAACAAGATGCTGCCCTTGCAGGGTGAATATTATGAAAGCTGTTTGTATTTTAGCACTCAAAGAGAGTAGGAAATAGATAGGGTGTTATCTGTTCAAAAAGTGATTTTTCTTGAGTGTTTGTACTCTCTGACATTTGCATCTCTCTTCCAGCTCAGAAAGATCTTCTTGGGCAGTTTAGCCCTGGGCGAGTCAGTGGTTCTTAACACAATGGAGCTGTGGCCTCAGCAGGCGCTTCTAGGTACTACTAGAATAGTACTGCTACTCATGAGAATATTCATCTTAAAAAGGTGGTTCTAACATTCGTTTCCTGCCAAGAGGTGAACACAGATTTCTTTGACTGTGGAGCAAATGTTATTAACTTCTCTACTGTTAGGGAAGTTATGTTGTATGTCATTATATCTTCATATTTATAGCAAGCTATTTTCCATATTATTATTATTTTTTTTTTACATTTGATATTTCACAACAGGTGCTTGGAACGTAACTTAATTCCATAGCTGAAACAATAAACATGTAGTTTGTACAGAAAAAGTTAAAGGGATACTATTAACAATTAATTAAAAACAAGGTTAAGCACAGCTGAAATATTGCATCTTGGACTTTTTTTTTTTTAAAAGGAGCTTTTTCTCCCTCTTTTAAAAGTTGTTTTTTTGTAGGGGGGTTTAGCAAGGATGAAACTGACTACAGGTGTGTTAAAAAAAAAAACAACCCCAAAAACCCAAAACCCCACAGACAGCAGAAAAATAAATCCTTACCCACCTCAGAAAGGTGGTGAGCCATGTCAGTTTGAAGTCAGGCAAGCAAAAGTTAGGGCAGTGTAACACCTTAGAAACCAACTAGTTCAAAGAGGCATGAGCTTTTATAGGCAACAGCCTATTTTGCCAGATGCTATGAAAGAACTGGCAGAAAGAGAGGGTTTTATACAGAAGGGAAAGGGATGGGGAGGGGACCCTGCCAGAGTAGATTGATAGGATCAATTGAGATGAACAAGGCAGTTAACCCTTTGTGAGATACTGAGTTAACAGCTAGTCCAGGTACTCTCCAGGACACTTAACTGTTGATCCTTCTCTTACTGCCCCTTCTTTCATAGTATCTGAGGAAGTAGGTTGTTGCCTGTGAGAGCTCATGCCTTTGAACTAGTTAGTCTTTAAGGTGCCACACTGCCCTACTTTCTGCCTTAATCTCAGAACAGCTAACATTAGCATGACTGACCATAGACTTTATAAAAATCTGGTTCAAGTCGACTCTTCCTTTAGCATCTAATGGTTAGATGAGGCAGCTGTGACTAATATTTTAAAATTGCTGTTGAATGTGAGAGCTCTTTCTTGCTTTCAAGCTAGTTATCTTGAGGTAAAATTGATCTACTTGTTAAGGTACAATTTGAAATCTAATTGGTTTAAAATAATGAGTTAAAAGTAGTTTCAGGTGCTTCATGTCTGAACCACCAGATAACTTGTGACTTTTGCAGGCATTTTCCCCCCATTTTTAATTTTTTTTTCCCTGTTGCCATGTGAGATATGGGGAAATACGAAAACAACAATTGTCAAAGTGAACAAATAGAAGAAATTGAAGTATTTTTTTCTTTAGGCCTTTTGGTCAACAAGTTTATGGAATATTCCTAACAATAGTTGCCAAAACATTTTCATTTGGAAGATGCATTTTTTGTATAATCACATAATCTGATATGCAGCTTTAAAGGTTTGATCCTTGCAGACAGATCCACTAATGGGACAGCTGGGAGCCTGGGGAACCTACTTCTAGAGGTTTAGGGTTTTTGCTGCTGCTTTAATTTCTCCATCAGTTTCTGCACCCTGTTGCTTCCTCTCACTCCATGATGGCACTGTCTTGACAGTTTGCCCTATTAGTAAGGACGGCTGGATGGGCTCTGCTTCACTGCAGTAGAACTTAGGGTTGAAGCTTTATCTATGCTTCTCTTTGCATTACTGTAATGTAGCTGTACTTATATATACCCCTAGAATAGATGCAATGTACCAGTATGTAAATACGTTGCACTGGTACAGGAATCCAAGGCTGAGTTGACTAGAAGGTGTGTAGCAGAGAGCTCTGAGGTTCTCCTTTTCTCAAAGAATGGAATAAGTTGTTTCTACTGTCTGTCTAACTGGAATACAGATCAGGTGTGGAAATCTAACTCTGGTCTTCTGTCAGTGAGGATCTCTGGCTCATGTTGTTTTATTGATGAAATAGTTTGATCTTGCTACAAAAAATCATGAGCAGCATGCCAAAAAGCCATTGCACCTACCACGGTAATGGCTAACAGACTTAAAGCGTAAAGGGAATTCCTTAACACGCTGATAGTTGTACTGACTTATTTTTGAATGTTGCTGTTCCTTCTGGAGTTTCGTAATAGAACAGGTTTTTCTAGCCTGGAGAACTTTTTGGTGGGGCTGCATGTTCATGGAGTTTGTCGTCTGACTCATCTCTTACTTGCTAGGGTTTTTTAAAACTGGCTCTACTTGGAACCAAACAGACGAAGCAGAAGCGCAGGTCTTGGCACTGTAAGTGATTTGGCAAATGCATCTTTTTCTAGTAGAAGGCAGGAACTGAGATAGTTTAGAAAATAGTTTAGTCTTCCCTTAAAGAGGTGGTTGATCATGCTAGATACATTTGAATAGCTTATAAAGAAACTATCCCGTTTACTGATTATGAGGTCTTTGGGTTTCACATACATAGGGAATAGGGGGGACAGTGCAGTTTTCATAGCTCTGCCTTGCCATGGGAAACTCTATACACCTACATGTACCTTTGGCTTTTTAAAGTAACGACTTAAACCAACAAGCAGCTCAGTTCAGTGAATACCTTGTAGATAAGCCAAAACCCAGGGTCTTGTTTAGCCAGATGCCTTTGAGGCTCAACCTTTGCGTGTTGATGCCAGTAATAACTAACAAATGGTAGGCAGTTTTTCTTCAGCATTTGTACAGGATGCTGTACATAGGCCAGATGTTTTCTGAATGTCCTTTGGTTTAGCAGAGACTAAGCAAGGTGTTAAGTGTCTTAATGAATTCTCGAGAACAAACATATCCCAGTCCCACTCTTGGTAGGTTATTTTTGTGAGTGTTATATTGATTTTTCTAAAACTTCATTTTGGGGCAACAATTTAAGTAGTTTGAGGTGAAAGAGTGGCTTCTCTTAGACATCCTCCGTAATTAAATCTGAAGTTAATGACTACACAAGCTGCAATATGGGCATACTCTGTATTTACAGGAGAAGTTGCTTTCATTTTGGGAGGAAGATGTTGAATAGTTAAAAGATCATTGGTTTTAGGGTTTCAGGTCTTGCTGGAGGTACCTGCACATGAATATTGGGAGTGGTGTCTTCTAATGGTTTGCAGCAAAGGAGGATCCTGTTTCTAATCTGAGCTGAATGTTTGACTCATTACGTGACCTTGGGCAAGTTATTCATCTACCTTGAGTTTCAATTATCCCAGCTGGAAAATTGAATAAACAATAGAAATCTGCTGAAAAACAAAGTGCATCTGAACTGTTTTTTTCCTGGTAAATTATTTAGGAAAAATATGTGGAAACAGCCATCAATGTTTTTAATAATTTTTTTTATGAAATTATTTTTTTAACATAAGTTTTCAACTTTTCCTTCAAGCCCAGGCTTGAACAGTTCACCCCATACTGACTGCCGTATGCTGTTGCCGACCTACAGTACTATTCAGGCCAGGACACCATAGTATTTTAGTTTCGCCCTCAAACTATGCTCCTTCCTGCCCACTAGTGTCCATCAGTGCTGGCTCCATGCTCTGAGTCTGACAAAACCCAAATTCTGTTCACAGATGAAAATATGGCTCACTCCTGCCCATGCACAACCGCAAAGCAAGCAATACTGCTTCAGCTCTCAACTAATTCTGGTCTACCATTTTGAGAGGTTAATTCCAGGCTAATCCTGCAGTTCCTAAATCAACATGTGTTGGTGTCTAGATAAAAATGCTAAATAGTTCCTCTGATTATTTATGCTGGCACTACATGTAGGATTCTGCTTGGGTGGTGTGGTGGGAGATTGGGGTTTACTTCTTCTTGGTCAAGACTCCATCCCACTCAAGAACAAGGAGCAGTGGGCTGAATAAGGAGACCCCGATTAATGTAGAAACCAAGGAAGGCAGCCCTGCTTTTTACGCAGTGGGCCTCCCAAACAGATGGCTCTTAGCAGGGCTCTTCAATGACCTCCATTGATTGCTCTCTGTAGGAATCTTGGCATTCAGCTTAGGGGATGATCGGAAGCCTTCCTGTTCAGCACCTCCAGCCCTCATTCTATATTGTGGTTATGCTACAGGTTTGCAGATGTTGAGCGCACCACATCAATCGCCAAAAATCCCATTCTCATTGAAACACAACTTATTCGCAAGAGGATGGTCTTTACTGGAAAAGAGTCTTATTTATCTTTGTTGCATGAAATAATAGCCTTTTGAAGCTTTGTGTAGAGTACTTGGTTTGGTAAACTTTATTACTTGAAAGAATATTGCCCAGAAGGATGAGATGAGTAGAGGGTATCAAGGTTGAATAGACTTTGATGCTGTTCCCTCTACTTGCTTCTAGATGGCACTGTGAAGTAAGAGAGTTTGTATTTTCTGTCTGATGAGACAGATTAATATTGAATATGAACATACAAAATATATGGTCTTTTGTTGGTTATAGGGGGTATGCTAGCCATTGGCAATTAAATATTCTTGCAGAGGAAAAAGGTAACTGAATTTAATCTTAGTGTGATATAGAATTGATCTTTGAATTGTTTTCGTTAACCATGAGATCTATATGAAGGGTTACCAATAGGCTAATTTTGTTTAGTGCTGAAATTGTGACTCCCAGGTCTGAAGAGTTTCCAATGACAAGCCTTTCCCTTTAGTGTTTTCATTTGATGCCAGTTTTTAAAGGGCTTTATATTGCAGTCAGACCCTCTCCTGCTTCTAATAAGATGCTGCCCATGTAATTTTGACAAAGGATACTTTTTCTGCATATCCAAAGGTATGCAATTTAACACATATCAGCATGTTAATTTTGAGGAAGGAAAGGTATAATAGCTATTTCTATAAATAACATTTTCTCTATGTTTTCCATGGTGCTTACTTCCTTTTTTCCCTATTTGAGAAGGAGTTCATGACTTGGATTAGGCCTTTACAACTATATTTAAATCAGCAGTCTTCCTTAAGAAGATTTCCTTGGCAATGGTTTGCAAAAGAACTAGCTCACAGCAGAGGAAAGACCTGCTCCCCAACTTTATAAGCTGCTCTTGTATTCAAAACTTAGCTAGCTATTGATAAGGTGGGAAAAAATGGTCCTGCTCTGTGAAATGTATTAAATAATTAAAATGTTCTCTCTTTCAGCAGCTCCATGAGACTGTGAAAAGAAAACTTGATAGCGCTGCCTCCCCTCAGAATGGAGACCAGCAGAATGGATATGGGGACATGTTTTCTGTGTCCAAGAAATTACGTCGTGATGATGGTCTTGGTGGGGTAAGTGGTTCCTCCAATGGCATGCCTCCTGTATCCCCACTGCATCAACTCGACAAGAAGTCTTCCAGTGGAGATATTTTACATCTCAATGGAAAGCATTCAATGGGACTTGACGGCATCAGCAAAAAGTGTCTTCCAGATTCTAATGTCCAGCTGAATGGAAGTAGCGATAATGATGACTCATTTCCTTTGGGTTTGAACAAAGAGCTCAAGCAAGAGCCAGTGGATGATCTTCCTTGTATGATTGCTGGGGCTGGGAGTTCTATATCTCAGAACAACCTGATGCCCGATCTCAATCTCAATGAGCAAGAATGGAAGGAACTTATTGATGAACTTAATAGATCAGTGCCCGATGAAGACATGAAGGATCTATTTAATGAAGACTTTGAAGAGAAAAAAGATGCAGATTCTTCAAATTCAGCTGCACAGACTCCACTGCCACAAGACATTAACATAAAGACTGAATTTTCCCCAGCAGCCTTTGAGCAGGAACAGATGGGATCTCCACAAGTAAGATCCACCTCTTCAGGTTCAGCATTTATTGGAGCCTCTTCTGTCCCTGTTAGTTCAGCTTCTCCAGCAGTAGGTGGCTCTCAGACTATGTTCCAGCCTTCTAGTCAGCCAATGACTGAAAATCCTAACCAATCCATGATGCAGGCATCAAACCAGTCTCAAAATGTGCAGAGGTCTCTGCCCAATGTATTACTATCTGGACAGGGCACAGGAAGTGCCAAAGACATGTCGTCTTCTCACCAACTCCAGCAGATAGCTGCCAAACAGAAGAGAGACCAGATGTTGCAGAACCAACAGCAGGCATCACAGGTCCACCAGACCAGTCAAATTTCCAGCTGGCAGCAATCTGGGCCTTCTCATAGCCCATTGGGTGTCCCCTACACCATGGAGAATCCTTCCAGCCCTTCGGTTTACCAGCAGGACTTCAATAACCAGAAACTTGTGATGCCCAATATGGCAAATAAGAATTCTCCCAGAGCTGGTAGCAATTACCATGTGAATATGATGGGTCATCAGCCAAACAGCCTGAACCAGAACCCCGTGAGCAGCCAAGGCTCCATGCTAGACTATGGCAACACAAAACCGCTTACACATTATAAAGCAGAGTGTGAACAAGGAGTTACAGTACCTGGTCAGAACAAGGCAGCTATGCTGACCTATATGCAGCCACGCCCGCAGCCCCCACTGCCTCATATGGGTGAAGAACAAAATGGCATGTTCCTGATGAAACAGAAGTCTGGAAATATTGCCTACAGACCTCTAGTACCGCACAGTCAGGTAAAGGTTAGGATTATTTTACCATGGTGCAGTACCAGATCTATGATATACGTAAGAGTGTGGGTCAGTGGAGCTAGTATGCAAATTACTTCGTATTTCAGAATACAGTTTACTGCAGATCCCAGGTTTTTATTTAAAAACAAGCAGGAACAAAGATATAAGAGTAAAAAGAAATATGGAGCCACAATCGCATTTTGTCTCTGAGATAGTTTTTAATATCCGCTATTAACAGTGATGCTGGCAAGACTGTTTTTCAGTGTAGTATACCATAAGCAACAAAATCTTTAACTTTAGGCCACGATCTGCATAAGGATCTGACAGCTTTTAAAACCTTTCTTATAAACTAGCAAATTGCCCCGCTGCTTTGGGTCTGACCCTGCTCCCCCTCTGCCCCCCAGCTGCTTCAGGTCTGACCCCACTTCCTTCTCCCCCCGCCGCTTCGGGGCCGACCCTGCTCCCCCACACCCCCTGCGCCCCTCTGGTTCTACCTGCCTGCCTCCCCCTGCCTGCAGGCTGTTCTGGGGGGTGTCTGGGCTGGGTGGCAGGGTGGCATTGCCACTGTGATCTCCCCCCGGCCCCCCTTCGCCCTAAGGCAGGGAGGTGTGGGGAAGCCCTGCTGCTCAGGCAGGCGGGTCATGTTCTCCACTGCCAAACTTCCCTGGCAGCAGTGCAAACTTGGGCCCCAGCCAGTTGCTGCCCGCCCTCTTGGTGGCGCGCACACAGTTGGCCAGAAGCGTTACAGACAGACAGAATTATAATATTAGAATTATGTATATAAAAAATAACAGAACTTCTCAAACCTTATCTTTAATTTATTTTCAATCTCTGTCTCTTCTCCATCTGAAGTGACTTGTTTGAAGATCCCAAGTCTATACCTTTTGGATATTCTGGGTTCCATAACGTGTGGAAGATTAAATAGATTTGATTTGAGTTGAGAGGTAGTTTGTATTTCTGCTTATGTCAAGTTTTGTTACCTAGTAATCCACAGGGAGTAAGAATAGAGGCTCACATTCACCCCAGATATGCAATTCATGGGAATAACCTCTGCCTGCTTTAGGCAACATGAAGAATAAAAGGAGACCTACAAAAGAGAAATAAGGTTATGCCCTTTTTTTGCTTTATTACCTATGAAGGGACTTCTATAGTGTTTGTTGTGCTTGCTTTATATCACAAATTTATATCTGGTCTACCTTGTTATTCCTAGAAGACTGCAGAGTTAATATATAGTTGGTGTCACAAGTATAATGAGCATGATGTTTGTTTAGTTGAAGCGATGGAGGGTAAAACTGTGGTATTTAATAGCTAAAACACATTCTTGATGAACAGTTGAGAGTAAAGACCTTAAATCTTTCCTTCCAGTTAAAGGCTGGTGGAGTTTCTACTCCAGTAATGTTATCTCAGTGAAACAGGAAAGAAAAGATTTGGTTTTCAAAGGTAAAGGTCAAGTATGTTTTAAAAAAAAATATTTATTGCTGAAATAGGAAGAGATATTAGTTAAAACAAATCTAGTTTATTTGCTGTCAGTTTGTTTATAGACCAGCCCCTTAATGTAACATTGCGTATATTTGATTCAGGTTTCTGATGAAATTGAGAAGAAAGCTCACCGTGCCTTCTGAACTGGTATTTTAATTTGGTGAATGAGTGGTATGTTCAGAATTGAGGCAGGGCATAGAACATGTTTGATGGCAACCATAAGAATTGCAAGCAAGTCTTCTGATATACTTACCAAGCCTTAGAAAAGACTTAATAATTTTCTTGAATTATTATTGCTTCTCATGTTGTTGCTATTTCTTATTGGTAACTTTTAATATTCATTCAGGTTTCCTACTCTTGGAAGAGCAGAGTCTCATTGCAGTTTTTAGAGTGGTTGATTTTGAACATTGATCAGTAAATAGTGGTTAATGCGAAACTAAATAGTCAAGCCCATCTCTTCAATGCACTCTCTAGTGGGGAGAGTGCAGTGGCTCAGAGCATTAAAAAATGTGCTTTTTTAGCTCTCTGTTTTGACAAAAGATACTCTCCCTCCACACAGTGTCAGCATGTCATGAGTTAAAATTCTGCCTAGAAAGAACAATTTCCCTGTACAGTGAAAAGTTGAGAGAAAAGGCAGAATTAGTGGGATATTGCCTATGATGTGTCACTTATCATTCAAATAAAGTGTCTTTCTTAAATTATTTTATGCTATGATCCTCCCTTGCAGCACTGGTAGCCAAGCAAACTTAGGAAGTTTGTGCTTACAACTGTTGCAGTTATAGTGGTATACTTCATGTGACGTTGGACAAATAGGCCAAGTGAACCTAGTCAAGGAAATGAAAACTGGTGGAGAGAAGGCTCAACTAGAAAGCCTTTTTTGCAGAATCGGGGCCTTAGTGGAGAATGCAAATATATACACACATGAGCAGTCCTGAGAACTCAATGGCACCATTCACAGACACATTCTTGCAGCATTGGCATCTTCTCTTGCTTGCTTGCTTGCTTCCTGTAGTTCCTTATAAGCTATCAAAATGCATCTCAAGTGTGCCTGTGCTAAAACCCCCATTAAAATTATTTGAGTACAGAGTTAGAAAAGATGCCTACCTTGAAAAAAATGGTTCTGGGAGCACAGATTTGTGTTGTACTTTATAGCTTACATTCCTTTGGAACAGTGCTGAAGTTTGAATACAGATGAATAGTTAGCCTGCTACGTAGACATTAGCAGACTATCATCGTAGTAATATTTGGATTCCCCTCCTGCCCCCCCCTTCCATTCATAACTAGCAATGTATCTGTAGCTTTATAAAAAGTTTTCTTACTTGTGTTTGCCCATTTGCATAAGACTTGGAAAGTTTTGTATTCACAACCAAAAATGATGCCTTCATTCATGAATGTAGTATAGCTCCTAACCTTTTCCTGCTTAACACACATTTCTTTTTGGCTACCTTGCATCTATCTAATTGTACTGAAAATGAACATTTGGCAACATGGTTGAACCCTAAATCCTTATAGCTAGAGAATTAAAAATAGTTTGCTTGCTTGGTTTGTTTGCTTCACTTGATTTTTATTAACTGATTGTGCAAATACATAGATGAGTAATGGTTTGCAAGCTTTTGTTTTGATTATCTAGGTACGATGTGTCCTACAACAGCTGAATTACTGTAAATGCTCTGCCATTCTCTGTTGCTCATGATAGTCATCTAGCTGACTGGCATATGTTCAGTAGAGCATTTGATGCTGTGGTGCCCAAGTCACCCGCAGGACTGATTTTTTGTTTATATTCTGCAGGATCAAAACCCTTCTCCCAATGTTCCTCGCGTCCCGGTTTCTGTCCCGGGTCCTGGTGTTGGTGCCCAGCCTCCCAATGTTTCCATCGCAGGTAACCATAACAGTGCAGCTTATCTCAATAATCAGCAGCAAGCAGCAGTAATGAAGCAACACCAGATGTTACTGGACCAGCAGAAACAAAGGGAGCAGCAAAAGCACTTGCTGATGGAGCAGCAGAAGCAGCAGTTCTTTCTGGGGCAAAGGCAGCAACAACTCCTAGCTGAGCAGGTATGCGGGGCCTGGGAGAGCAAACAAATCCTTTCTTTTCACATCAGTTTTAATTTGCTTTGGTAGATTGAGGCAGGACTTGAAACCTTGTTAGACTAAGTGAAGAAACACAGTTTAACTTCTCTTTGCAAACAGAGAGAGATTAATGAGTTGATGCCTGGGTGCAATACCTTTTGTTTTACTTAGATGAGATATATTGAAGGGGTACTCTCTTCTCTCCTGTCATGGCTTATAGTCAAGGAAAAAGAGGTAGCCTCAAATCTAACAGTAAACAGGTGAATTTGGTAGTGGAGAAATACAAGGAGATAAGAGTAGAGAGGAAGGAGAGTATACCAATGACTGTGATTGTATGAAGGAAGAGGGCCAGGAGAGCAGGAGCAGAACAAAAGATGAAGTTCAGACATGGGTGTTGTGTTTTAGGGTATTTGAAAAATAAGGGCAGAATTAAATTTTGCACTGAACTGGGGAGTCAGCAGAGTCTTTGAAGATGAAGATGTATATGGTCATGCAGCTTTCATGTGTGTGAGAAAGGGACCAACAGCATTTGGCATGCTGGGTAGAGTTTGGACTTTGAGAGGCCCTTGAGCCTCTGGTAGTCAAGGTGAGAGGTAATAAGAGGCTGAGTATTTGAGAAGAGGATTCCAGACAATTGTGCAAACAAGCAATGTTGGATAATGTCTGCATGTGCCCAAGTACTTAAAAGATTTGGAACTGAGCAGGGTTACAGACAGGTTGCTGACAGACATATGAGATAGAAATGTGTGTGGATCTCTTGTTCAAAGGAAGCTCTTCCATCCATGAGACCTTTATTTGGGAAAGGGAGGTAGAGAAAGCCCACATCAAAAAGGTGTGTACGCTCAGAGTACTCTGAATGCACTGCTGAGGTTCTCATAGTTGTATTATAACCAAGAAGATGACTAGATGAACAAGTAAAGCTATAAGGACTGAATGTTGGTGGACATTGTGCAGAAAGGAACTGACACCACTAGATACAGTGGTGATACATGGGTGGTAGGAAAGGTGAGCAGGCCCTGAGATACTTGTTTATCCATGGAGATGGCCCAGGAAAACTAAGGGTGTGAAAGAGCAGGCCAGTAGTTAAAGCTGTGAGCTGCACAGAAAATAATAATATTGTTGCTGTGATCCATCTAGCCAAGACACGTGTTGAAATGGTTTAGGGGGCTTGAGTTAAAGGTGACTGGAAATATGCAGAGCCTGACTTTGAATGTTGCAGGATTAGAGTGTAATGTAGGAGAACATGAAGAGGAGAATGAGAAATACGGTCAGCTTTAGAAAGTTGGAGAAAACCCAAGGAAAATGGGATTTTGACCATTATAGTAGCAGGGAAAATGAGGACAAGGGGACAAGGATAAATGATCAGTTAGAAGGAGGTGGCCATATTGAAACAACTGTCTGTCAGAGGCTTTCTTTAGGGAAGGATTTTTAACAATAAGCCCAGGGAATAGTGACCAAGAATTTTGTGTGGGTTAGTTTGTTGAAGGGGACAATAAATTCTAAATAATCAGTGAAAAATGATGTTTGTTTGTCAGGTCGATCAAGCTCCCCCTGCTGGATGTTTCCCAGACTGCTGTGTTTGGCTCCACATACCGGGACAACTTGTTTTTACACTGTCAGGCTCCTCACCCGGCAGACTGCAGACAGGATTGCTGGCACGTTTTAGGCACAAACTCTGATATTGCTTAGTTGCCCCTGCTCTTAGCTGCCCTACAACCAGTACTGACACCACAATATATAAGTACACCCTTTCCCAGTTTTTTACCTAGTGGAAATTCTGGGTTGCAGTTTTATTCTTTAGGGACACGTAGTGATAGTTAAATGCACACATTTTACAAAAGGTTTTTTAACCAAGCTGTCTTTATTTTAGATGGTGCAGAGGTGCCAGAACACCTACCTGCTAGTTCCTGCTTCAGTTATTTTTACTGCTCCTGAGCACTTCGGGGGATTTGGGTCAGTGTGTTTTGGGGGCTCCAGTTCTCCTGTGCTGTCTTACATTTCTCTAGCTCATGGCTTTTCTGAGAGAGAGAATCTCTTTCTGGCCTTTGCAGTTGGCTTCCTTTAGGCTTTGCCTGGTCCAGAGTCAGGTCATGTTGCTCAGGAAACTTCTCTCTCGTTTCTTCCCAGTTGCTCTTCAGCCTTAAAGCCTTCTCAGTCTTGGAGATTTTTAAAGGTCTGCATTCTCTCTGATGAAATTTTCATTCCTTCAAAACCTTCTCCCTGTAGATCACTGGTATAACGGGTTTTCTTCCAGCTTGGATACCTTCCATAAGCTATCCCTTGTCCTAACAGACTGCAGCCATTAAAGGCTAAAAACTTTTGTTTGCTCTAAAACCTTCTCTACGCAGGATATGTGAGGCGTGTGATAGGGGCCTTGTCAGCCTGTGACTGATTTAGTACATATTCAGGGTTGGAGTTGTACATAAAGTTAATAAATAATTCATAAATTGTACATAAATAGATTACCCGTATCATCCCACAGCTCAATTGCGTTTTGCCTTCCTTTGGCTTCATGGTTTATTTACCCTGTCAAGGTACAGGCACGAGCACCACAGTAATCTTTCTGTGCTGCTTGACATTGGGAAATCTGGAAAAAAAATACTACTGAGGTAGCCTCGCCCTGTTCCCATGGTCTCTTCTAGCCCCTAACATCTGTGAACTGCACCTTAGGAAAACGCGACATCCTGAATGGAGGGTAGCAGGCCGGGTATGTGCACACGTGCATTCTGTCTGCCGCGTGGCATCAGAAGTTGTCTTCCAGCTGGAGAGTCTGCATTGCTCAGTTGGCAGAAAGAAGGGGCTGTGGCACCACAAGGCAGCTCTGAATGCACACACTCTCAAATTTTATTCGGTAGAACCTGAGCAGTGCAGACTGCTCTGTAGTCTGTACATTAGGTCTGCTACAGAAGGAGCAGAGCTTCTGTTTTCCCAAGGTTTGTCACTGTCTGAGCCATGAGCAGCTTTTTATATAGTCTGGCAGTTGCATGATCTGGAACCATGCATCACTTCATTCTTTCCTGAAGGCGCTCTCTCAGAATTTACTGCCTGGTTGAATCCAGTTTCTGGAAAAAGACCGGCAGTGCCTTCTATCTAAGGTGCCTCAGACAGCATTACTGTCCAAGTTCCCGTTGTGGTGGCTTTATGATATGTGAAGTCAGAAAGTTTTTAAAAAATAACCCTAGTTTTCTTACCTTCTGTTAGGAGTACAGAGTCTTTTGTCACCATCTTGGAAGAGACAGAGTTGTTGAATATTTAAGAGATTTTTCTCTAGTTGAGTTAGTGTGCTTAATATAGTCTTAAGCAATGAATAAATCATTGATATGATTTCTGTCACACTAGTTTCTCTAGTTATCTATACTCTTCCAGGAAAACTAAGGTAACCAAGAACTGATTATTGTGTTTTTTTTTAACTAACATCTCTTCATACAAAATTAAAAATACTCATTTGTTTTTTTCTGGCCGCTTTTGAAGTTGAAGGTAAGAAGTGCATCTCTGCAGTCTTCAAAGTATTACTGAAAATATGTTATTTACTAAACTTGCAGATGAATGAACAGCTGACATTCCTACCTCATAGTGTCTCTTAGGGCTTTAATACACATTGCAGCAACACTTTATATTGCATGTTTCTGTCACCCTGGCTTCCAGTTATTGCATTATTTTTGTAATGGAAATCTCATTTTGTTTCCTAATCTGTCACCTTGGTCCTGGCCTTCCTTTTTTTTTTTTTTTTTAATTAAACGTGTTGCATTTGATCCCTCTAAGGCAGTGGTTCTCAGTCTTTTTTAGACTCACACCCCTTCTTTTAGACTCAAGGCACCTCTCTTTAGACTTGAGGCACCTCTCAGAAAATGCCAGTTTTCACTTGTTTTCTGACTACAGAAAACACTAGAGAAACTTTTTTGTTGCAAAGAACTCAGATAGATCACAGCAGGTCAGAATGTTTATGTTACGAATCTCGTTTGCACATATAACAGTGCTAACATTGTGTTACGCTCTTGAAAGGATGTCAAGGCACCCCAGGGTGCTGTGGCACCCTGGTTGAGAATCGCTACTCTAAGGAAGAGATGCATGCTTCTGGATTCACAAAGTTAGCAAGTTTGTGATCAAACCACAGGTAGCTTTGTTTTTACCCTGTGCAAAGTCTCACTTGAAGTCTAGCACAGACTTTTTATTTTCTAATTTCCTTCTATTGGACCGCTCCTAGGAGAAACAGCGGCAGCAGCAAGAGCAGCAGCTCCAGCGACACCTGACCCGACCACCCCCTCAGTACCAGGACCAGCCACAGAATCCTTACCAGCCGCAGGTCGGACAGTTTACAGGTAACCAGACTTGGCAGCTGAACTAAAGCAAGTGGAGAGATTCCTTTGGAACATAAGTAGAGTGTCTTCAAGGTCCCTATTCTTGATAACTTAATTATCTGTTCTCTTACTTTGTCATGGCACTTTAAAGCATGTCAGTGTGTCTTCTCATTTTCGCTGAGAGTGAATAATCTCCCCTTTCCCTCCCTTGTATGTTGATTGCAGCTAATTGATTTTGCATTATATTAAATCTGCAACTTTTCAGTACTCTTTTGGGAATAGTCTAAAGTGCTTGGATAGAGGATTGTAAGAAAAGTGCCATTGTTTTTCCGGGGGCTCAGGCAGTCCAGGAATCTGTCCTCCTTTCCTGTCCCATGGAGACCCTGTATTATAGTCAACTTTCTTCTAGCATGGGAAGGTTGAATTGTGTTATGTTTGAGAGAAAAACTCAACTTCCTGTAATTACCACAAGATCTCACTAGAGCAGCGGTTGGCTGGCAATGTACTCCAGCGGCAGGCCAGAGTGACCCAGCTGCTGCTACTTCTCTCTGCTGCCTGTTGCACAGGTGAACCCCCCCCACCTCCTTCCCCTGCTGCTGGAACACTGCACAAGCTCCCCGTTAGGTTCAGTAACATTAAATCGGGCCTTGTAACAGGTCTTAATTTTAAGACTAGGATGTGGTTACTTTTTAACCAATAACAAATGTATTAAGCCTTCAGCAGTTACAATTTTAATACTGTAGTTAGTTAAAAGTAACACAACATGCTTACCACCCTGAGATGTAACAAATGTGTAATTCCTTGAATGGCCAGTCCATGAGGTCTTGTTCAGGCACAAAGGTCAAAACCCAGGCCTGAAGGCCTCTGGGTTCCAACACCCCAGCTCCATAGGCTGGATCCGTTGGCTCTGCGGGCTGTAGGTTGTCAGTCCCCTGAACTAGAGACAAACACGAGGTGCTTTTTATCCTACCCCTAGCAGGCTGACTTTTTTTTGACTTCATAGCCCTCATACTTGTTGACTTGAGTGAGGAATATAAGCTCTGATCTCCTGCATTCTGGAGTGATATTTTATATTGGGGAAGGGGGAGGAGGGAACCCTAATATACATCTGTAGTTTACTAACATTGATAACTACGAGTTGTCATCATCACTAGGGTGGCATAGCCTAATTGATGTGGAAGCACTGGAGGTCAGTAAACCCACTTTTTTTTAATACCAGGATGAATCTTTGCTATTAGTGGGCAAGTAACTGCTTTGCTTGTTTATTAATATCCAAATGTTGCCTCATCCACCCTTCCATCAGCAGACACTTAAGGAAGAAAATAATGCTCGTTTCCTTCCTTCTGCCCTCCTCTCCACAGGACCCCAGCATTGCCACTGGAACGCAACTTTTAAGATGAAGTGTATAGGCAGGATACCATTACCTAAGTCAGAGATTCTGTCTCAGATCTATTATCGCAGATTCTCGGGGTCAGAAGGTAGTAATCAATGGCTCGATGTCTAGTTGGCAGCTGCTATCAAGTGGAGTGCACCAGGGTCAGTCCCAGGGCTGGTTTTGTTCAATATCTTCATGAACGACCTGGAAGATGGCATAGAGTGCACCCTCAGCAAGTTACAGATGACGCCAACTTGGGGGAGTAGTAGATACGGTGAAGGGTAGGGCTAGGATTCAGAGGGATCTAGACAAATTGGAGGATTGAGCCAAAAGGAATCTCCTGAGGTTCAACAAGGACAAGTGCAAAGTCCTGCACTTAGGACTGAACAATCCTACACATGGGACAGGCTGGACAGCAGCTCTGCAGAAAATGACCTGGGGGTGACGGGACAAGAAGCTGAATATGCCCGTGTTGCCAAGTGTTGCCCGTGTTGCCAAGAAGGCTACCGGCATCCTGGGCTGCTTTGGGAGGAGCGCTGCCAGCAGATCAAGGGCAGTGATTCTTCCCCTCAATTCAGCACTGGGGAGGCCACATCTGGAGTCCTGTGTCCAGTTTTGGGCCTCCCACAACAGGAAGGATGTGGACAAGCTGGGGAGAGTCCAGCGGAGGGCAGTGTAAAGGGTTCAGAGGCTGGGGTGCAGGACTTATGAGGAGAGGCTGAGGGAACTGGACTTATTTAGTCTAGAGGAGAGAAGACTAAGAGGAATTTAATAGCAGCCTTCAACTACCTGAAGAGGGTTCAAAAGAGGATGCAGCTGGACTGCTCTCAGTGGTGGTAGATGACAGAAAAAGGAGCAACGGGCTCGAGTTGCAGCAAGGCAAGCTTAGGTTAGATAATAGGAAGAATTTTCTCGCTAGGAGGGTAGTGAAGCACTGGAACAGGCTACCCCGAGAGATTATGGAATCTCCATCCTTGAAGGTTTTTAAGATCTGACTAGACAAAGCTTTGGCTGGGATGGTCTATTTGATGCTCATCCTACTTTGAGCAGGGGGTTGAATTAGAAGTGACCTCCTAACGTCCTTCCAACCTTAATTTTCTATGATTCTAAGTCAGTGAGGGCCAACCTTTTTGGTAGGCCTGCCACAAATTAGCTCCATCCCCTTCCCGAATGCCATTCCCATCTCCTTCCCTTGCTCAGTCAGCTGCTCTGCTTTCTACTCCCTTGTCCTGTGCCTCCTTTCTGATTTGCTGCTCTGTTTTCTGCTCTCTGCCCTATCTACTGCTGTGATATCTGTCCCCTCCCCGGTCTTCCTTAGTACTGTACACAAAGGCTTGTCATGCCACTTGTGGCACGTGCCACAGCTTGACTACCCCAATCTAAATGACACTGATGAATATGGTTATCAGTTTGCTAGTCAGAGATATGAATTGTGGCTTCTGTAGCCAGAGATGCCCTTTTCTCTGCTAAATAACAGAAATTACTTTGTTAAAAGAAATCTTTGTATGCCTGTAAGCAGTTGGTATGCAAGAGGGGTGGTGAATACTGTACCTCAGACAAAGAGTTACAGTACTTCATCTGTACTCTCTGTCTGCCAGCTAAGAAATGCAGTAGTAAATGTGTGAAATGCAGTGTGTGTCGGTCATGTAAGCATGACATGTAGCAGCATGAAAAGCGCTTGATTCTGTCCTACAAATATGCTGACTCTCGGTACTTTTTCACTTGCTGTTCTAATATTCGTACCACCTCTTTGCTTTTTTGCACGGCAGAACAGCAGACTTTCTCTACTTGTCACGACCTCTGTCTTTTTTCCCCTTTGTTATGTTGCTAGTTTAGGACTTTGAAACCCTAGCATTCAAACGATCCCACATTTGCATACGTTGTCTCGTGCATGGATAAAAAACATGCACTCACATTTGTGGTAAGAGAGTGGCTCCTTCCAGCTTTATGAGGATCTCAGAAGGGAAGGCAGCCCCTACAACTTAGATACGTTTCATCCCAGACCCTACAGTGGAAGTGTCTCAGACAGACTTTCCTGTATAGTTTTTTGTTTCACTGTATATATTTTACCTTCCAGGTAGGAATCTGCCATCTAGAAACAGCTTTTAGCTAGAGTTGACAAAAAGGCTCCTTTTTGGTTTCCTGACCAGATTGATGAATTGCAACCTGTCTGATTATTGGTTTTACCCGCAGGCATATTGAATGCATTATTATAAAAAACAGAAAGGTACTTAACATGAAAATTGCTAAAGTAGATGATAGAATTAAAGACGTGCAGGGCTGGAAGATGAAGTCCACCGCCCCCTGCACAGAAGCAGGAACTTGTTTTATCTCATATATAGATCATTTTTGACAAATACTGATCTAACCAGTTCTTTAAAATGTCCAGTGAAGGTTACTGCACAGCCATCCTAGGCAGTCTCTTCCAGTGCTGCATGTGAGGTCTTGCCAGCACCAAGTGAAGCGGAATAATGACTTCCAGGGTCTTGCGTGCAGCACTCCTCTGAATGCATCCTGAAATGAGATTGGGTTTTTTGGGGGGAACCATCACATTGTTAGCTCATGTTTAGTGTGCAGCTCTCTATAACTCCACGTTCTTTGCCTTCAGTACCACCTTCTACCCAGTCCCTCCCCACCTTTTATTTGTGCATTTGATTTATCTTTAAGCGTGTCACTTTGCCTTTGTCTGTATTGAATATCAGATTGATGTTTTCAGTCCATTTCTATTTGTCAAGTTTGGACTGATTTCTGATCCAGTGCTTCAAAGTGCCTGTGGGGACTCCTAGCTTGATGTTATTTGTAAATTATATAAATCTACTTTGTATTCAGTAATCCAAGTCATTAATAAAAATATCAAATAGAACAAGTCCCAGGACAAACTCCTGCCAGACCTCACTTGAAATACCCTCCCAGTTTGAAGAGAACCATTTCTAATTACTGATGGATTGTTTTATCAAACAGCTTGGTCACCAGAATTTGGAGGGCTTGCTTCTTCCCTCCCTTGTGTATGAGACTGTTGAGTGGGAAGTGGCCTTCCTGACCTCAAGATATCACAACTATTTCTTCTCCTTTATCCAGATGACTAGTTACCCTGTCAAAAGATGTAGTTTGACACTATGTTTCTGACAAACCCACATTGGCTGTCGTATCTTTATTACTTTTTTTGTTTAGGTGTCTATACATTGCTTCTTGAATAATATGCTCTGGCATCTTTCTGGGGTTGAAAGCCAACTTGACTTCTACTGACTTACCAGTAAAAGAAACTATTTGAGTTACACTGTAAAATTAGGTTAGAATCTTGTACCTACCCCTGGTAAGTCGGACAGGGAGCTTGCACTCCACATCCTGATGCTGTGTGTCACCGTGACCCTCTTTCCCAGTACTACCAGTTCATGGACATAAACCCATAGGGAGTTTTTGCTCTTGTCTTGTTAGGCCCACATTAGTCATGAGAGACGGACCGCATTCATGCCCTAAGCACATAAGGGTGCGGATCCACAGGATGATTAATACGCAGCATTTTATCCTGGCTTTACTCTAGTGAATTCACTCTGCAGTAAGTGAGCTAGCTGCCTGCAGGAGGTGGTGTTCTAGCATCTGGCTGCTAGATGATGCAGGAGCTGGTTTGCATACATCGTATACCGCAGGATAAAATGTATTTATTATTTAGTTTTATACCTTGCCTTTTCCAGAGGGCTCAGAGCAGCTTACAATAAACAGACAACCAACCTGCAGATTGGAAACAATAATAAATTGATGGGGAGCAGGGAGAGAGCATATTCTACGTCATCGTTTTCCCATGTTGTAAAGTTATTACCTATTTTTCAAGGATCAGTTTTACCCTGTGCTCAAAAGATTTACTACATAATAGGGGTGTGCCCTGTGGGTCTGCTCCACCCTTGCTACATAGTAAAGTCAATTCACATGTCTGCACCCTGAGTGGTGCTGTAGCATCCTAGTGTCTTAGTACAATTCTACTCCATCCTGGTTGAGTCCCTGAAAAATTATTACTTTGGTAATACACCTGCATTTTAGCATTAAGACTAAGTCACACAAAATGGCAAGGAGGAGACCTCCTCCCTTTTGCATCAGCTTTTTTTCAAGGGCTTAAACAAGGTGGATGAGGATCACAGGTAAACAAAGATCTGGTCAGTGGGGGGTGTTTATACACATGCTCTGGGAGTTGGGCAGAGGGGGGTATGCTTTAATTAGTGGCTCTGAGCGCCACTCTAATTAAAGCACCCAGAACATCTCATGTGTCATTCTTAAAAATGGCGGCGGGGGAGCTTTATCTAAAGCTCACTGAATGAGCTTTAGTTAAAGCACCCTGCCACCATTAAGTGTGGAGACACCAATACACAAGATGCTGGAGTCTGCTGGAGCCTAAATCTCTAAAAATCTAGCCATTGCTGATCAAAGTTTCTCCCCATTTCTAGGAAGAGTGGCATTTGAATCAGTGTCCTTACATAACTGTATCTGCCTGTATCTGTAGAGAGTACTAGCTGGGAGGACAGTGGAGAAACTTCTTTACCGTTGCACCCCAAGGCTGATGCTAGAGAGGAGCTCGTAGAGTAGAACTTTCCCATTGCTGCTGTATATTACATAGATTAATTGATAAATACATCTGCAAAACTGCATCTGCTACTGTATGCATGTATTATAGTGTCTAAAAGGTGTGTGGACAGACTTTGGATAAGTTGGAAAGAACTATTAAATATAGAAAATATTGCTCTGTATTACAGGATCCTCTTCAACCATGGCCGGGGTAAGTAATTTAGGACAGTCCAGTTCCAGCAGTCCACGGATGTTTTCTCAGACCCAGAACATGATTCAGATGGGACCTGGGCATGGTTCTGTTCCTCCTCTCCAGTCGGGCTCCAGTCAGCAGGATCGGGGTGTGACTCAGTACACAAACATGCAAAACATTCAGCGAGGGGGACTGTACAACATGGCATCTGGTATGACGCAGATGGTTCCTCAGCATGCAAATCAGAGTGCCAACGGACAGCCACAAATGCAAAGACAGCCCAGCCTGGGCCAGGGCACTGCTGTGCCAGCTGGGTATGGGCAGAACACCTTGGGGAATTCGAGCATTTCTCAGCAGCACAATAAGGGGCCACTGAATCCCACTTTATCCAAGCCACAGATGGCAAGAGTGCCAGCGGCAATGGGGGCCCAGAACCCATCTTGGCAACACCAAGGAATACCCAACATGAACAGCCAGACACAAGGAAATGGGGGCTTAGGGGCATTTACTGCCAGCTCCACTTTCCACTTGCAGCAAACTCACCTAAAGATGGCCAGCCAGCAGTTTGCTCAAGGAATGCCTCAGGTAAGCCTAAGCACCAGCCGACCCATAGCCTCCATGAACTCTGCTGTCGCTGGGCAGATACTCTCATCATCCTTAGGCGCACAGCAGAGGACAAACCCACCTGCCCAGCAGCAGGTCCCCTCACAACAAGTCTTGCCTGGCATGAACCAGGCAGTTCCAGATCTGACTGCTTTCAACCAGAATCCAAATCAGCAGCTGCCCAATAGAGCCAATCTGCACTGTACTCAAGGTTACCCCGTGAGAACCACCAGTCAGGAGCTGCCTTTTGCCTACAGCAGCCAGGTGGGCAATAATGGACTGCCAAGCTTAACTGGCGACACAGACCTGATAGACTTGCTGAAAAACAGGACTTCAGAAGAATGGATGAATGACTTGGACGAGTTGTTAAGAACTCACTGAAACAGGGTTTGGGGGTTTGTTTTCTACATCTTATTTTTTTATTTTGTGAAATCTAAACTACGGTTGGACCAAAAACCTGTGGCTTTGAGGAGACTTGTAGGCATTAGAAGTAAATAGTTGGGAAAGGGACTGAAGCTACTTCCCATTTGGGCTTTGAGACATGGTAATGGCACACCGAGCAAGTCCGCTGCGGCGCTGTGCTTCCTCTTTGTGTCTGTGGGAGGTTGCACGTTTGAACAGGTCAAACAAATTGGTCTGCATCCCAGCCTGCCCTTCAGAAATTTCACTTGCAGTGTTTGGAAACTGAGGTTTTTGATTATTTACAAACCCTACAAAAACCCCACAATAGTGGGGAAAAACAAGCAAGTAAAAATCATGCCAATATTTCCTAGAAGGGCTTTTTCCTGGAGCTCATACTTCATGTCACAGTCGTTCCCAGCTTGTCATGCTGTTAGTTGCAATACTGTCCCACCACGGTTCCCACTTCGTTTTTGCGGGAGGAGAGGACACGTGCCCCTGAGTGTGTTTGCAAGACGGTTTTATTTTGAGTCAGGCCTCCTCCCCACTGCTGACGTGTGTGCCGCCATTCTCAACAAGCAAGTGATCTTTCTCAGTAATGTTTGAAGCAAATGCTTCTGGATGCTGGTGATAAATGACAAAAAGTGTTAAAACCTGGCCAGCTGGCCTAGGCTGGTGACTTTCTTTAACGGATCGTGGACTCCCAAGCTGCAGCTTGCACTCTTGTGGAGGGACGTGGTTCTTGGCTTTTACCTTATTGTGGTTAAAGAGGGACTTTCTTATGGGAGAACCTTTATGAATATATTAGATGTAAACCCATTTACTTTGCACATGTTTTTTCATAACTTATTTCCAAAATTAGTTGTGTTTAAATGAGGACTTTGCTTTGTGATAGCTCATCTTGTTTTCCTTTTAGATTTTATAACGCAGGATTTGTGAGGTTAGTCTTCTCCAAGAGTAAACAGAGATTCCATAAGCACAAGATTTCGTCACTTTAGGATCAAGCGCGTGAAAGTAGCACTGGGCCGAGAAGTGGAAAGTCCTTACCTAAAATGTAAATATCAGCAATAATAGAGCAGGGAGCATGGAAAAATATTGGCCTAGTCACTTGTCTCAAGGTTGTTCCAATGTGAAGATCTCCCCTTTAAGTATTTCCCCCCCTGATTTGTGAGATTGATAATCTTTTTGCAGACAGGTATAGATACTTCTCTGATCTCTCTTGAAGCAGGTGCTGGTTCTGCAGGATAAGCCAGGATGACTCTCGCACTCGTGTTGGGGTCAGTTGCATACAGGATAAGAAAAGCAATGAGAACAATCAGTGTTCTAAATCCTTACTCGCTACCAAAAATTCCCCTATCGATCAACAAACCACCTTGCCTTAACCTTTATTTTGAGATGGAAATAAAGTTAAAAGCTTTGTTTTAGATGCACAAATACCTCTTCCCTTCCCAAACCCCTTGGGGGTGGGAAATGTGGGCCAACTTTTTCCATTTTTGTAAAGCTCCTTCTAATTTTTTAGCCAACCCCAGCATGACGAAAAGAATTTCCTTCAACACAGACTAGTGTCTTGAGGAGGAGCCTTTCTGCTCTGCAGAGGTGTTATGGTTTGGAGCGGGGAGGTGAAGGCTAAAATTTGAGATTTTGGAAGGAGAGTATTTTACTGTATTTGCAGCTCCTTTATCAGATAATTTGCACTTTTTATAAAATCTGCTTTTAACACTAATACTTTCAACCCTTTCCCAATACACGTGAAACATGGTCTTGCCCTTCACGCTCTTCTAGATTTTGCATTGTATCATGTTAAACTGTTGGGGCTGGTCAGAGCTGTTCACTTTTGGTGATACTGCACATTGACCAGTGGATCCCATAGCTGAATGGAAGGTGAAGTTCCTCTGAAGTGAACTTAAACCCTTATCGAAATATTTAAAAAATGAAAAATGGAATTGATTCTTAAATGACAAATGAAAGCATCAGCGACACTGGGGTTACTGGCACTGTTCTAAGATTTTTTTTAGGGAAAAATCGCTGACTTTTAAAATGACTAATCCTAACTTTTTTGGTAAAGAAATAAAGCCAGTGAGCTTGGCTTAATGATACAGTAAGCAAACAATTGGTCCAAGGCTCTTGAAACTTCATCAGAAGAGTCTAGACTTTAGCAGTTTTCTTTTCTTTCTCTCTCACTGTCTCTCTCGGTCAGGAGAAGGGTGTTTGTGTTACTTGTTTGTGTGTGTTGTTGGGTTTTGGGGGGGGGTGTTTCTTTTTCTTAAGTGTTAACTTAGCACCAGTGTGCCTTCATTTCCTATTGGGGGTACTTGGGACCTCATACTCTCGAACAGTGACATCCTGTAATGTTGCTGATCCTTTTCTCTACCCCTTAAAACACCCAGGAATAACAGCCTGTTAGAACTTAATTGCTCCTTTTCCCCTGTTTAGCTTATGTGACAAAATCCACTGTATTCTTCAGGGGATTTCACATGCAGAGTTTAGGTCTAAATACATCAAAACAACAGTCCATCCATTTTGTAGCTCTGTAATCTGATGTAAAGGAGATCAGCTCAGCATGCTTGCTCTCTAAAGGATAGTTCCTGTAGGTGTTCTGGAGATTGCGGATGTCCTTTTCCCTTCATTGTTTCTGGAAGCTGAGATGGATATTGGCCTGCTAAACAGGAGTGTGTTTCTCTGCAGAAGTCCTGATTTGATTTAGGACTTGGTCTGTAGTGGCCGTGGTACTGTTCAGTGCTCTTCAAACATGGATGGAGGCTAATTGGTTTATAATTTCCTTCAGCCACTGTGAGTGAATAAGATCCGAACAATGTTAAAATGATCGCGATCCAGCCTCGACTTTCATTTTTCAGCACGGGTGTCATTTGGTCCCTGTCTACACAGTCTGATCAAACTGTTGATAACATGGTGGCGGTGTTACCATGTTTACATACTGCTTATTGGCCATCGACAGTGAGGCCTAAATGTGCATAGGTGCACAAGTGAAGACAGGCTGGGCATTGCCCTTGCGTGCTGTCACACACAGCTGTTAACACATGCACTTGGGCTTTCCATTTGCTGCAGCTTAAGAGCAATAAGATGTAGCTCCCCTGAGCCTTGCCTAGCCGGCTGCCCATGGCTTTATTTATAAACTGAGGTTTTGGCTAGGCGAGAAGGGTGAAAAAGTCACTGTGTAACATCCACTGCCTTCCAAAAACCACGAGTCAATTGAAAAGGGTGCTCAAATTTTTGTTATACACATTTCCTTTGTGTAAATAATGTTTACAGTTTTATATTAAAGATTGAATAAGAGTTAGATCTTCTGACTGTATATTTTTTACTTTTTATAGATTTTAAAACTATAATTCTTTATATATGTGTTTTTGGGGGTTATGGTAACTTTTATGCTTGTAAATGGAGAACAGTTGAAATTGATGCTAACCTTTATGAGTTTTTTGTCATTGAAATGTGTAAAGAGCCCATTAATCCCCTTATTCTTTTACTACAATTACTGGTGCACACCAAAAAGAAATCCTTTACTTCTGTTTTATCATTATAAAAATAAATATTTTGCTAGTGTATTAAACACATACGGCTACGACCTTATACCTTTGTGTGAGCTGAGCAGCTTTGCCTTCATCATTCATGTGCGATTATTCTCTCCTGAGAGACGGTTTCTATTCATCCAGTGATTTCATTAATAATGTTCAAATTCTAACTTTGTTTGGAACCAAACTTGGTTTTCTCTGAATCCTTTCCCAATTAAGCCCAGAAGGGGAGGAATTTGGAAGTTCGAGGGGGAAGGAAATGATAAAGACATCTACCTGCCACAGGAAGCTTTACTGAACTTGGAAAAATGAAGCTTAATCTTAAACTCAGTCCTGTGCGCCTTTGTTGGCCATTGTCTTTTTGAATAGGTATGCCATGGCTTGAATCTTCTGGATGTTAGTGGAGAGGCTGTAGAGTTTTTAGTGTTTCTATATTCCTTTCTTTCCAAAGTTTAATGGCGTTTTAATAATTTTTCAAATTTTAGTTGTTAGATCCTAGAGTTGGTTGTGACTGGTGGTACTGAGAGTGGACCTCTGCTGTTGTGCCAACTCCCCCCAAACTGAGAGGTGTTATACAGGTAAAACTGTTTAATCTGTTCAAAAATGGTAACAATGCAGAAGTCACTTTGCTCTTCCTGAATCCTCCTTATTTCAGACTATCGAGAGACCAGACAAATGCTGCAAAAAGAGGTCAGAACTTCCCAATGGTTCCAAAACGTAGGCAGCTGCTTTCTCTGATATTCTTGGCCTGACGTTTAATGTTGCAAGTCCACAAGTGCTTTAGAAGCCGACCATTTACAACAGGAACTTATATTGTCTCCTTAATTCTGTTCCAGTGGGTCACTGATTTGAAAAATTGCATTTTTTCCAAGGTAAGAATTAACTTTCTAGTAATTCTTTTTTTTTCTGTCAAAAGCTTTGGCTTCGTCTTAGTGATGAAATTTATGCTACTTCAAGTGTTTGGGGTCTCTGAATTGCTCCCTGACCATATTGCTTAACTAAGCCTCTGTTCTATTTAGAATAAGTGTGTGGGCATAGTCCTTGAAGAGCTGTGAGCAAAAATCTTTGGGCTAATTCATACCTGCTCTCAGATGACACCAGCTTCCACTGCTGTCTTCTTGGAAGCTGGGTTCTTAACCTCTGATTTCCTGATAGGCAGCTATGCAGTAATAGGCACTGAAAGAATTTCCTGAGCTGCGTGCATAGGACAACTCTAAAATGTTTTTTTTTATTGTTTCCTGTTTAGTAAATGTTAGAATTACTGTTAAAACAAGCAGATTTTTATCTGTGAAGCTCCAGCTCCACCTCCTAACCACAGCACTGGTAATACAAGAAAAAAAAATGCTGGCAAAGCTGTGCCACATGCTTCCTTCATGGGGTTGTGTTGTAGTGCAAAGCTTTCCCCCCCCCCCGCTGCTGTTCCATCCTTAGCCGGCCAGCTTGAAAGCAGTCCTGGGGGCTAGCTCTGCCTTGGCGGGCTGCTGGTGAGTGGCTGCCCTGGCCTGCCCAACAGTGCGACTTTCACCTCCGTGCCATAGTTTTGGGTGAAAGGGGCTGATTTGAAATGGTCTGCTGCAAAACTCAGTTGAATCTGAAGGAGAAACACTTTTGGGAAGATCAGTTGAGCTAAACTCTTAGAAGGGTGGTGCTTAGCCTCCTTGGATTCACAGGCCCCCGTGTGGGACTTGATGGCCCCCTCGTTGTGAATTGAGTGGTTCCCATTTCAACAGGGATTTCATGTTACAGTGCTTCCCTCCTTGTAGGGGGCTGGGCAGTAGGGAGGGATTGTCCAGGCAGACAAGCCTGAGCCAGTTTATCAGCTTAGCTTATCTTCTTGTCGCCTTACATTTTGGGGCGCCCTTCGAAGGGTCTGGTGGCAACTCAAGGTGCACTGGCACCCTGGTGAGAATCACTGACTTGGGACCTCCAAGCTCCTCTCAGCTGTGCGTCCTTTAAACCTGTTGTATATTTCTTACCTTTCCCAGAGGTTGTATGTCAGGGGATTTGTAAACCTAAACCTAGGGAGAAACAGGTATAATCATGTATCATAAAACCAGCAGGTCCAGGGTGGGCTAACTAATCTGAAAGGAACTGTTCCAGAGCTTCACACTATTCCTGTGTTGTGTGTGTACATGCATCTTTCCAGGAACTCCAGAGTTAATCCTAGTTAGTATCAACTTTTGTGTCTCCCTCTCCTTGCATACTGCTGGTTCCTGTCTGACATTAAAATTTGCTCTGCAAGCAGACTTTAAGGCTTTTTCATAAACTAGGAGGAACATAATTTGCTTCCCACCTGGAGGACACAGCATTTTGGACAAGTATTTTATCTGCACTGTCCACTTGGAATTGATGTATCATTTTTTAACTTGGGTAGGCAGGGTTCTTTGAGTGGATGTGATATATTTTATTAGACCAACAGAATAGTGGGGAAAAAAGTTCTTAGCAAGCTGTCAGGTGCAGTCACCCTTCCTCAGGCATCTCTGACCACTCTCTGCTGGTCTGAGAATCCAAGGAATGAGAGAAGCTAAAAGTGTGGCAGGATGTCAGGGAGGATGTAAATAGGTAGAGATAAGAAAGACCGAAGGTAAAGCAGGGAAGGGAGGGGGCAGAAAGGGGACAAAAAAAGCCAAGGGGAACATTACAGTAGTAATAATACACGGTAAAAAAGAGGCTATCAATAAAAAAGGAAATGGTAGGGAATCAGGAAGACAAAGGGCAGAAAAGGAGGGGAGGGGAAAAGAATGTAAGAGGTCAGGCCAGGCAGGTACCTGGCAAGTCAGATGTCAGGCAGGTTGTAATGTGTCATAAATCCAATGTCTACATTGAGTCCATGATTTTTTGTACCTAGTAGGTTGATGAAGTGAAGTTCGTAGGCTTGTCTGTGAAAGGTGTTTTGTAAATTCCCTTTGAGGATTAGAACTGAGAGATCGGAGAGGGAGCGGTTGTCCTGTGAGAAGTGTGCCCCACAGGTACTTGGGTATTCTTGTCTTTGACAGATTTGTGCGATTTGTGGAGCTTTTTTTTTTGCAGTTTGTGGGGGTGATGACGTACTGCCCTTCCCTGGAACCCATGTGGAAAATCCTCAAACAGTTGCAGCCCAGATGAGCCTGCGAACTTCACTTCATAAATCTACCAGATACAAAAAATCATGGACTCAAGACACTGGATGTATGACACATTACAACCTGCCTGACGTGTGACACACCAGGTACCTGCCTGACCTGACCTCTTACATTCTTTTCCCCTCACCTTTTTCTCTCCTCCCCTCCCCTCCTCTCCCATTTTGTCCTACCTTTTCCTCTTTTATTGATAGCCTCTTTTATACCTTGTATTATTACCACTATAATGTTCCCCTTGGCCTTTTTTTGTCCCCTGCTTTCTGCCCCCTCCCTTCCCTGCTTTACCTTTTGTCTTTCTCATCTCTACCTATTTACATCCTCCCTGACATCCTGCCACACTTTTAGCTTCTCTCATTCCTTGGAGTCTCAGCTACAACCAAAAACTCAGCATTTTTTAATTTGATAATTTATCTGGCAATGGTGGGGTTGACCGGAGGATGCTCTGAACCACAACTGAGGAAACCATAATCTTGAAATGTGTCAGGGTGTTGAAACAAAAGGAGCACCAAGTGAAGGAGAAAAAATCACCTTAGTTTGCAGCTATTTGTGTCTTTAGCTCTTAATAATACACAGGTATTTTGAAATGTTTGCAATCTGCAAAGATAGGAAAGAATATTCCAACTAGCTTTAAATTCAAAGGAAGAAATTTGCAGCACATGAAGGATTTGGAGAATTGTGAACCATAAATAAAAGGAGAATTTCATTTTGCTACTATTCATTTACACAGTTTCCAAGGGCTTTCAGCACATTTCTGCATTGCAACGTGGAAAAGGGCATTTGGCAATAACATAGGCGTGCAGGTTTTTAGCAGTGTTGGTCTAAGGACATAGGCAGGCAAGGTTCTTTGGGCGAATCTGATACCTTTTCTGATGCTGGCCGTTCTGAAGCAAAGCTGCAGCATGCAGAGGGTTAACAAGCCCTTTGGAGGAAATGCATGCTCCTGCAGAGCAATAAAATTTCAGTCACAGCTGGGGAGAGGAAGCAGTTTCTGGTCACTCTTCTACCTGTCACCAGCTGCTTTTTGCTGCACAACCAAAGACAACAACATGCTGGATAAGACCGCGCTGCTGGCCGCTGTCACCATTTTGGGAGTCCTGGAGCAAGGTAAGGGCAAGATGCCCTCACGTGTGTGCGCGGAACGGTGCGCGGTGAAACCCTGCAGCTTTGGGCATTCACAGTGTTGGTGACAGATAGGATGAAGGTTGCTTTTGTCCCAGGTGTTTGTGAATGCAAATTGTTTGAATATTGAAAACCATAAGCTGACTTCAAACAAACACGAACACAAGGGACTAAAAAGACTTGCTGATGTCAAAGGTGGTGTTTGAGAGAGATGAAATTAAGTTGGCATTTTAATTTAAGCTAATGGTAAAATACTCCCTGTTTGATTTAGACTGTAGTAATGTTTCCAGGCGAGTGTCTGAGGTCTAATGTGACCATAGGAAACTCAAATAAAGACAGTGGGATGAGAGTCAGAACTTCCTATGACATCTGACCGTATTGGTGAGAAGCATGTGTGCAATATATACGGCTTGGAAAGGTATGTATTCCTGACAGCTTCACATACAAACCTATTCCTGTTACTTCATGCTCAATGTAAAAATACTGTCTGGTGCCCTCCATGCATTGTGGATTTAGTTTCTTTGCAGTTTACACCGATGTGTTAAACCTTTATTAACACGGAGTGAACACAGTGCAGTAGTACAATAGTGGACAGAAACTGCAAAATAACTAAAAGCCAGTGCACTCCAGAAAAACTGCATCACTACAGCCACTGCCATACACAGCAGCAGCAGCAGGCATCAGTTCCCTTTTCTCTTTGTTGCTGGAAGTCGCTCTGAGCCTTTTTGCAGAAGTCACCATAGAAACCAAATAAATAAATACATTTATAGGAGGTTGAGCTCCTACCTAGGTTACCATGTCCAGTACTAGAGACCTCTTTTTATCATTCTCTTGACACACAGGAGAAATTCAGAAAAAAGCAACAAAACTGATTAATTTCTATTTAAAAAAACCCCTAACTTTCTTCAGCCTTTAAAAATGTAGCTTGCTGAAGCAGTCGGTGGGGAGAAGAGCTCTGGCAGGCTACAGCTCTGGGCTGGGATTTGAATGTCAAGGCGGCAGAATGATTATATAGTGCAGCCCGAGGAGTAACCGAATTTAGTGAGAAGTCCAGCCTCGGCTCTTTCTGGCTGCCAGGGGGTGTGCTGGGACATTTGAAATACCCAGAATTGTATTTTATCCTGAATTCAACTGTCCTTTCATATTAACGTAGCCTTCTTTAGGATAGAAAACAGGGAGAGCTGGTGTGAGCACCGTTACTTTCAGCACACCAAACCAGGCTGAGCAAAGCCCTGGGAAGCTTTCCACTGCCTGTGCTGACAAGGACGTGAGTAGGTAATAACCCGTCTGTGCCTTCAAGTGCAACCTTATGTTCAGGAAGTCGGCCTTCCCCCAGGCAGGAACACCAGACTCTCCTTGGGGTGTTTGCTGTTTCAGGCTTGTATTTGCTCCGAGAGCACAAGGGACACGTGCAGAGGTTAGGTGGGGGTTAGTACATTCAAACCATCTAAGGAAGCAGGTGATGTTTACAGGCCAAAAAGGGAGCAAAATTGGGTTACAAGCTCTCGCTTCTGTCACTTTTCCAAGGTTAAACCCATCTACTGAAACGTCTTGTGGTGGAGACCACCTTTTTGCATCATTCACCTGAGTTAATTTCAGCATGTTTATAGCAGGTCAGAGTTTGATCTTAAAATACCCGCATCTCTCTTTGGTCACTGCCATCACTTACTTGTGAGGTCCTGGATCTTTGAAATCAGATACAGGTTTCGTTCCACTGGCTGTTTAGCAAAATCGATCTGTTTGGACACAGGACTTTACGATGTCTGCACACATACCACTCTAGGAGGAGTGGGGCAGTTTTACATGCCAGAAAATCAGTATACACTAAAGCGTGCAGTTTGCAATTTAATCCAGTGTACGTGCTACTTGTAGAATAGATGCCAAATGTACAAAATTACCAGCATTTTCCCCAAACAGCTTAATAATCAAAACAGAAAATTCCCAGCCAAAATAATAGGCAGACAAGGTTCCTTGGGTGAATTTGATATCTTTTATTAGACCAACCCAAATAGTTGGAGAATAGTTATTAAGCAAGCTTTCAAGTTCAAAAACCCTTCGTCAGGCTAAGCTGAAGGGTTTTTTAACTCAAAAGCTTGCTTAATAACTATTCTTCAGCTATTTGGGTTGGTCTAATAAAAGATATCAAATTCACCCAAGGAACCTTGTCTGCCTATGTCCTTAGACCAACACAGCTACAACCTACACCCCTGCAGCCAAAATAATGGCATTAATCAGCGGTGGTTGTTACTGGTTTGAAACGCGTGGAAAATGTAAAGGTGGCGAGAGGCTTGTATGTTTCAATAAAATCCAGACGTTGGATATTTTAAGTTACTACTGTATACGTTCAAACTCAGTTTAAGATCCTGAAACTTGACTTGGTCGCTAGCTTGCTTCAACATCCGACCTTGAACCATTTCATTTCCAGTACGTGCTTGAATGTGTTGCTGCACTGTGGGCTTTTTCAGTAAGGCGTTCTTAGATTTGTGCAGCCTTCCTGTTCTGTCAGTGTATCATCTCTGTCTAGGAAATGTGTCTAGAAGTGGTTTTTTTTAATCCTTACTAATTATTGTGGCATATGCCCCCTTTCTAAATAGCGGGGAATGTTTGCCTTCATCACGTTGTTTTTGATTAACGATCGTGCTGTTTCTTTCTGCCATCTGTCAAAGGCCCATGCAAAGGCATATTCCTAACACGAGTCACACAAGTAAGAGCAAGATTAATTCAGAGATGGGGGTAGACAGGGAAAGACTGATGTGAGAAACGTTACACAAATATGATTCTTCTAGATTCTGATGCTTCGGGGGATGACGTAATGCAGCAGAGTTGAGATGAACTGAGAGATGTTCACCGTTATCTGAGTGTAGGGTGAGGCTAGCTTTGCTTAAAACTTAAGCATTTTTAGGAGTGCAAATTTTATGCTCTAACATTCTCTCAATATTTTCCCTTAAAACAATCTGGGATCTTAGAGCTCACTGAATGCCCACAAATGGCCTGTGCCAAGCAGCTGAAAGAACAGGAGGACCAGAATGAAGCTTCCTTTTTCCCTTTTAAAAAGTCCCCCTGTCCTGTTGCATCAATGCTGCAGTGTGTAGGCTTAGAAATGCTTGACAACTGTTGGCAAAACCAAATCTGAGCAGACTCAACAGGCTTTCCCTAGTTGCCCTTTCAGTGGCAGAGGAAAACAATTTGAAAATGCATGTTGCAGTGGTTAGGGTGGGCTCCTATAACACATTGTCAAGCTGAGCCATCAGCGCTCATACGCTGGCAGTTCTTGCAGAGACAGGGCAGCTCTGTGGGTCTGGAGGACGACCTTGTCTTCTGTCGGTAGTTTTGCTTCATGCTGATGCATAACTGATGTACAAAAGATTGGATTAGTATTAATGTCAGAGCAGATCAGATCTCACTTCGAAATCTCTCCCCACAGATCTGCTAATTACTGCTGAATTGAACATTTTGCATCATATCAGATGTAGTTCACATCTGCCTATTTTCTTTTGGGTTCACAGGAGAGCAAAATACTGCTGCAGTCTGTCACAGCAGCATGATGATGTCACTCTTATGGTTTTCCCTGTTTCCATTCGTATAGTTACTCTGGCCCCAAATACATTTATTTTTAATGTTGATTAAAGTGAAAAAAATGTGATCAGATCAGGGACTGGGTGAGGGGATGGACCCCTGCATACTTTGAAAGTACTAAGTGCCATTCATTTAGGGTACACTGTAGTGTCAGATGACTTAAACCTCTCGTGCTAATTCTCATTCTTACGTGAAGGATTCTTTGGCAGGCCTGCTTCTTCCCCTCTCAGCTCTCCATCTCTGCCTGCCTTTACCTCACCTCTTCTTTTTAAAAGTGATGGGACAGATGCTGCCTTATTCTAGCTATGCTTACGTGTTATCTGTCTTTTCAATGCCATCAAAACCCTTAATTGAACAGGTCTCCCTCTGGCTGCTGCAGCTAAGACACACTTTCAGTCCAAAATGATGCTGTTGGCACAGACATTTTGCAGGTTACCTCCAAGCTAACAGTCATCCTGACAGTCTAAGGCCACTGGACTATAGTAGTGGACCAAAAAACCCCCTTCTGCTTATTTGAATCTTCCCATTAAAAACAAAGAAGGATGTTACCCAACTTGCAAACCAGGTGTTGGTGTGCTGACCAAGTAAGCCAACTGTGCGAGAGGGAACTCTAACCCTTCTCCACGTGTGCGCACCAGAGGAAATCGCAGCAGCTCATGGCTTTGGAAGCCCATCGAGTTGTTTCCAAATGGACTGCTCTTCTTTCATCTCCGGGTGACTGCCTCACTCCACGGCACCTTGCAGGCAGCTGTTCCTCTCTCAATGCCAAATTTCTTTCGAAAGGATGTGAACCTAGAGAAAGTAGCCCAGCCCTGAACAAAGCATTGCTGAGTGCAGCAGCCAGACATGGGTTTCAAAGCAGCTGTCATCACCTGTTTTTTTGAGGGTAGAGCTGAAGTTGGCAAGGTTCGGTGCAGAGTCCCACACAATGCTGCCAAAGCTGCAGAAACCCTGCCAGCGAGAGCTGTGTTTCTTTAGACAGAGCTGCAGGCCGTGCCTGGATCCAGACTGATGGTATCAGTGTCCAGCGCCTTTCTGGCATCCTGCCATTTCCACAGAAGTTCTCATGCAAACGCAGTCGGTTGAGCCAGACTCGGTTATCTCACTGCTGGTTACTGGGGTTGAAGCAGCAGGAAGGTTTTCAACAGGTGCCCAGGCTGGATTTGTATGTGACTGCTCCTTTCCCCCTTCAATGGTGGGAGGGAAGGCTGTGAGCCAGTGCCAATGTTATCAACCCTCCCGACAGCGCTGTGGGAGTCCTGCCACTGCGGCCTGCGGGCACTGGGCATCCTGTCTGATCCATGCAGTCTTGGATCAGAGGCTCCCAATGGCTGAATGCTGTAGCCTCCATCTTAGCACCTAACCAAGAGGTGGAGGCATGGGGGGAAAGAGCAAAGGCCTGCAGTCCTGAGAGGTGGCTGAAGGGAAAGGGGGAAGCAGCACCCGGGGCATGTCGGGTCAGCTCTGGATGTGTCATGCATGCACAAGCAGCAGAGGGTGATTTTTAGGTTGTTTTCAAGCCGTCTTCCTGCTGCTCACAGGTTGGGCATGGTCAGCGGGGTCAGGCCCAGAGGCTGATCAGAAATGTGACCTCCTCTGGTCTTAAACACCCTGGGAAGGAAGCCACTGAACTGGGGCTGGCAGTCCCCCAGGCAAGGTGAAGCTCAGTTTTGTGTGTCTACCTTCAGCACGTGTGGAGGCGGCCTGGGGAACGCTGTGAAGTGCCGGGGCAACCACTGCTGTTGCTGATCATGTCCAATATTGTTATGCAAGCCGTAAGGCAGGCATAGTCTTTGCTCTGCACTGTATGCAAGACGCGCAAACACGAGCACAATGCACATGTGACGCAAAGGGGGTGTTTATTCAAGGCGCTGTGTGATCTTCATGGACCTGGGATGAAAAACCTACAAGCATAGTGGTGATTTCCTTTTCACACCGCTACTTTGAAGCCCAGGACAGCCAGGGCTGGTGAGCTGCTGCTTGGGTGTCACCTCACTTGTGCTTCTCTTTCAGCCTATTTCGCTCTGCAGGTGATCTCTGCCCGGCGGAAGTACAAGGTCTCCCCGCCATGCGTGACGGGCCCCCCTGAATTTGAGAGAGTCTTCAGAGCTCAGTAAGATTTTTAACTTGTTCCCCAGGGCCTGGCTAAGGCTCTCTCTTCTGAACTTCCTGGAAAGCTGACCCTGTTCAGCTCTTCACCACCCACACTCGGTGCTCCTTAGACCCAGATACTCTGCAGTTGCCTGTCACTGCACCGCAGAGCCATCAAGTGTTATTTTCAGAGTCTTGTAAGTAAAAGAAGAGTTTACCCTGCAGCGTTACAATAACCAGTATTAACGTAACAAGCTGTTTGTTGTGTTGGTCCCCGTATTGAGTTGAAGCCGCAGGCCCCTCTCTGTCCATGTTAGTCTTCATTGCCCTACGCTGAGGAATTGGTGTTGGTGCTGTCTGTTGAACCAGGGATGACCCTGAGCAGCAAATGGTTTAGAAAAGCATTGGGGCAGATTTTCTCAGGTCCATCACACATAAGCACAGGGCTGGGCGATTTCCCAGTTCAACAGAGAAGGGAAGAACCTACTTGTCTTTCCCACCTGCCGCTGTCGAGGAGTGAGAGACATGCTGGGATGGTGGAGGACTTCGGAGCTGATCTTGGAAAGGAACAGCTCACCCCGTCTCCCAGGGAGGAGAACTGTACAGCCCCTACTTTCTCCGGTGTCCGCGACACAGCTCTAACCCTCTCCTCTCTGACTCTCACTAGGATAAACTGCTCTGAATACTTCCCCATCTTTGTCTCTGTCCTGTGGGTGGCTGGAGTCTTCTTCCATCAAGGTAAAAAAGAAACAAATCGGACCCAAACCCAGAGGCTCCTTGCTTCTGATCGATCACGTTGCTGATCTTATGTCACAGTTCCTAGCTAACTGCTGGAAGAACGGCATCCCACCCCAGCACTTCAAGGAACAGCTGCCTCATTACCAATGGGGGAACAGGACAGGCTAAATTTGACTTGCTTGGTTCTAGGGATGTAGGACAAGGGACCAGGCTCCTATCACAGGCATCATCTGGCAGCTGCATTTTAATACTGCTGAGCTGACAGATGCAAAGCCCTTGGTTGTTAAGGGAGGGGCTTTCCTTTCTAGAAGGAGATATTTGACCAGGGTGAGCTTGTGTCTAGTCCCTAGAGGTGAGCTGTTCCTTGGTGCATGTTCAGCAGTGCTGGCACAGCAGGACTCGGCCTTGGTTGGAACACAGGTACTAAGGAGAAGGAAGCATGGGAGCAAAGCCTTGCCTGCCTGCCCGTGGCTCTCTCCTCCCATTGCTCTCCAGAAGAGCAGCTAGACTGAGCACTGGGGCAGCTGCACCCAGCCAGGCACCCTCCTGGCTTTCTGCTACAACGTGAGTTTTGGGAATCCAGCTGCCGTATGAATGGCAGGGATTTATTTTAACAGGTAAATACATGAAATGGGTTGCTGGCAAAGACCAGTCAGAGCGCAGCTTCTACTGCAAAATCACTGGTTGTTAGAGGCCCGGTTATGTTCTGTAGAAACATGACTGATCTTCAGACACTTATTTAAAATTCACCATTGTAGAGCCATTGCATTCAGTTTGTTCATGATGGCAATAGATAATGCTTCAGTTGTACCTTCTGTGCCTGACTGCTCTTAGTCAGGCGTTCCAGCCATGGCATGCACTTCAGAGATGGTAAGTGATGCTCTGTCCCTGGTAATTACTTCTGTGTTCCTATCTTCCCCCCTAGGGGCGGCTGCAGCCTGTGGGCTCCTCTACCTGTACTCCCGGTACCAGTATTTCAGGGGCTATGCCCTGGCTGCTCATGCAAGGTAAGCAGTCTGGCATGCAAACACACCTGTGAATATGCCAGACAGGTAACCAGAGTGCTTTAAATAGCTGAGTTGTAACTGGGTCCCTCCTTCCTTGCTGTTCAGTACCGGCCCAGAGCTCATTCTTCTTGGCAGCACTAAGACGCTCCATTACTTCACTCAGTGGCACACTGCGCAGGGCCTGGCCTCCCGCTGTCAGACATATTTAGGTCCTTTGAATAGCGCAAGCTCCACCTTTCTCTGCAGTACTCCAGCCTGCTGAAGCTTCGTTTGAGGAGGAAATTGAAGATTATGAGTCACAGAAGCAAGATTATAACTGAGCTAACTGAGCAAACTGATCCGTGCATCAGAAGTGTATTCAGGTATCCCCAGGATAACCTGAATGGGTTTCCTGTCAGACATTACCTGTCTTAGCTCCTCACTTGGAGCTTGTGCTTCTTGAACCCACAAGCGTGCATCAGCCTGGCTCCTCTACGCTGCTGTTGCCAAACCTGTGAGCACCCCGCAAGGGCTGCTCTGATGGCAGCCCAGAGCTGGAAAGGATAGAAGTGGATTTGGGGGGTGGCAGAGGGGAAGAGAAGGGGCTGCTTGCCTAGCCCTGCATACACTCTGCGTGTCATCTGAAGACCACTGCTCTCCTGGCAGGTCAGCATGTCCCTGAAAGTGTGTCCTCCCTCTGTGCCAGCAGCGACCCAGGCTTTGCCTACATAACAGCTGCTTGTTTTTTCCTTGCACAGATTGGGTCCCATGCACTTCAGCGCAAGAGTCCTATGGATTCTGATTGGTATGGCCATAGTGGGGCTCCTCATCCACTTCCTGTCTCTCCGCCCACTAATACTGAGAGAGGATCTTCTGAGCAAACTGCACCGCTTCCAGGGGTAAATTGTACCCGAAGCCTGAGCAAGACCAAGCGAGGGCAGCGCTCGCTTCACAAAATGTGCGAAGAGCAGGAGGGTGCTGTGGCTGACGGGCTGTAAGATACCTTAGCTTGCGCTGAGCTGCGTGTTCTGTGCAGTCAAATGCCTTAATAAAAGGGGGACAGTAGTCCTGTGAGTTCAGACGCTCCACCTCAGAAGCGGTTTCAGTTCTAGGTAAGGTGCTGTGCTCCACCTCATCCCTGGCTTAGCTTTCAGAGTCCCCCCTCCCCTCTACAGCATGAACATGGATGCAGAAAAGCACAAGGGAGAGAAAAGGCCTGACATGTAAGTGAGCAGATACTTTCCTCTTTCCTCTCCCAGAGCACGTGCACCCGCTGCAGTCAGGGTAGAACACTTGGCCACCCAGAATCAGGTTGGGTAAATGAGAGGGTGTAAAAGGGTACAGGAAATCTGAGTGCAAGGGACTCTTTCCAGCAGGCACCTGTAGTTCAAGGAGTGTGTTACCACACGCTGCTTCTCTAGACAAACATGGACTCCAGGCTGATGCTTGCAGCAGCTCGTACCATCCAACCTGACTGTCCAAGGTGGATTTACACTAAAATTGCCATTTTTCTGAGGTCCCCTGGGTAATGCAGACAAGACAGTGGACCCACAAAGAGGCTGGAGGTCCAAGTCATGCAGTTACTTGGGATGGGAATAGGAGGAGCAACGGCTGTTCCTGCAGGATCAGAACTAGCTTGTTGACTGCAGACAAGTCCCCAGGAAAGGCAGTACTTACCCCCTGCTAGAGCTGCCACAGGCTCTTTCACTCTTCAGAGGATCCGAAAGGGTGTCAGGGAAGACTTGTTACGTTAAGTGATCTGGATTAAGGCATGCATTTGGCCATAGCTGAAGGTGTGGCTTAACCAAGTGTGTCATGTACCTGCTGGTGCTTGGCAGGACTGCAAGCTGTATGTAACAGAGTAAATGGCTGAGTTACCAGCTGCTCTAGTTCAGTGCTTCTCCACCTTAGACTCAAGGTCCACCTCAGAAAATACCAGCTCTCAGCTCTCACTCATTTTTAAATTATGGAAAAATAATACAGCAGTTTTTCTGTTGCAAAGAACCTGGACAGACCCTGGCAGGTCAGAAGGGTTTGAACACTCTGGATTCCTATTTGAAGTCTGAGTTTATCTTGTGAACCATGTTTGCACACCTCAGTGCTACCACTGTGGGGTACCCTGTAGCACCCCTGAAAGGATCTCAAGGCTAAGAGCACCTGCCCCCCCCCTCCCCCGCTAAGCATCATTGCCCTTCTTATCTGAGCACGGAGAAACAAGTGACTTGGCAGCACAGGGGGACTGTCAGATGCAAAGGACCAGGGTGCACTACATGCAGCTGCTGTAAATCCTCTCTGGTGAAGAGCTATCAGAAAGTGTTTCAGCCCCAGAAACACTCGCAGGGGGGCAAGGTGGGACAAAACACAGCTCGATCCATTAAAAAAACTTCCTTTTATGTTAAAACTGATCTGAACTCCCCCACCCCCACTCCAGCCCCGCTGTGGCTGTTGTTGTTTCCAACATCAGGACGTGTTCCTGCCATTCCTGGCACTGGTGCCAGCTGACTCGCATGTCTGCAATGCTATTGAGACACAGTTTCATGCCCCAAGGGCCAAGCTGCACTAGGCTGCCATGTTGTGCAGCGGGGCTGCTCCTGGGAGCATTTTAAAGATGTTCTTAAAGGACACAAAGCTATGGCATGCTGGGAGTCTGGCTGCTGGCAGGCCCCACTGGGGGGCTGAGGTAAAGCTAGGCAGGGTGCATACAGCAGTGACAGTGAGCCAGTGCCTGAGGAGCAGCCGCAGCCTGGTTTAGCACATGCACGATGAGGTGTGTGGAAGAGGCTGGCTGTCACCAGCAGCCCCTGGCACTGGTCTCGCACCTCCACTACTCCAAGCACCTCCCTCCTGGCACTGGGAGCTGTAGGAAGATGGGATTGTCTGTACCCGGTCACATTTCTGCAGGCCACGAGGGAGCACGGACGGGACCACAAGGAGGCAAAGAACATTAGCCAGCTCCTACCGTAACCGTCTACAAAGCAGGGCAGAGCTGCAGCGCTGAAGAGTGGGAGGAAGAAACCTGTCTGCTCACTGCAGCTTCAGTCTGAACAGCCTCTGAGTGTAGCTGCAAGGCCAAGGGTTTTAAATTAAACTTTATTACAGTGCACATTTTATATATTTATATATAGATGTACTTGAAAAATCAAATGTATCCAATAATAAAAAATACAGCACATTGAAGTAGTATAATGCATTCCAGTGTATAGCTGAAGAAACATTGGGATTCCAGAAAGTTGCTCTGAAAATATTACACTAATCCCTACCATTTTAGAACTGGGCTACTTTTTTCCAAAAATTCACATCAACCAGGATACTGAAATATTTCTTAAAAAGATGGATTTTGCACTTCATCTCATGGCATGAAGGCACTGGAGACTTCAACATGAGCTACAGGGCCATGTACAACACTGGCAGGCACAGTGTGGTTTTCTATTTCCCTGCCATCTCCATACAGCTAATCCCCTCTCTTGGACCAAGAGAGGGCTCAGTCTTCATACTCACGCAGTCCTCAGCTTTGGCCCACAGCAACTGCCCCTGGTTTGAGGGAGGGAAAGACTAGGGAGGCAGACTCTTGGCTGTTCCTCCAATGTATGTCAAGTCAACCCTGTCTGGCAGCCAGTAATGGGAATTCAGTCTCCACTGGTTCATGTCAAGATTGAGGTTCCCTCATACTGCTCCTGCCACAGACCACCCTACCTTACCTCCTCCAGCCCAGCCAGAGACCACCCTCCCCTGGGTGGAAGGTGCCTTTGGCCTTCATGCATGTTAGGTCCTTAGTTTCAGGACAATGCTAAACCGCACTGCGTATTAGCGTGACCCAAGTGATACACTCAGTCGGAAACACCCACGAGAGGATTAGTGACAGCATGGTCCTTACCCGAGGGAACAAAATCAAACCTTTGCACTGGAAAGCAGTTCTTCCTTGCTCTTCAGACGGCCACAGAGGAGGGGCTGCCCTGTCCTGCCCCAGCCTCTGCGCCCTAGCAGAGGTGGCTGCAGACGTGTGCCAGTGCTGGCACGATGCGGCCTTGTTTAATTCTGCCCAGCACCCACGTGTGGGAACGTGTTTCTGTCCTGCAGTCTAGTGTGGTGCTTGCTGGGGTCCTTGTCTCTTGACTGCAGATTTTTCTTCTTCCAGCCTTGGAGCAGAGGGTGGTGCTATGCACACACGTGCTCACAACTGGGTTGCCCAGACACTGCAGACTCGGGGATGGGAGCAAGAGGAAGGGGGAGGGGAAGAATCTGGAACTGCTTGGTGCCGCCACCCGTCAGCCTGGGAATCTCATTCTGCCTTCTTAATAAAGATCTGGGGAGGGGGGAAAAGAGGGAGACTAAGTAAAAGGCAGCTGGGCCATGTCGTTCTACAGCGACACCCCTCCATGCAGTCCCCCCACACTCCCAGGAAGAAAATTCTCAGGGCTGAACCAGGTCTTCCCAGTAGAGACCTAGAACAGCCCAGCCCTCCCCCCAGTACAGCTATGGTGCAGATGTGCTAAGGGATACTGTGAATAATATAAATTTCTCCTTGCAGAGCTGCCCTGAACATGCAGACATCCCTTTAAGGAGTCTGCGCACTCCTGCCTTGGCTGTTCATCAGGGAAATTGTTCCCAGCCCTGGGATGCGGATATGGGAGCAGCTCCTTTTCTGCAGACCTATTCCAAGTACTGCTTTTACCAACAGCTGCACTGCCAGGATGGCAACTGCATCTGGGAGCTATGGCCTAGGGAGCCTTTTTTTGGAACTGAAGCTGCACAGAATCATCTTTGCCTTACAGACACAGGCAAAATGCATTGGGGGGGGGGGGGGGGGGGGAAAAAAAACACAGA